TATTGGAATATCGTGAGTTTTACAAAACAGACAAAATTGCTTCTTTAGGAGTGATGCTTGGCCTCAGATGTGTTTCCTGCGTTAATGAGTGTGAGATGTGGTAATGGGCAAGTATATGTATTTAGATTTTTTTCTTTCTTACCTATCCAGTTTTTTGTTTCTCTTTTTTCGAAGGCAAGGTTCTCCTCTGTTGCCTCGAGGCTGGAGTGGCAGCTGGCGGCCCTAAAGCTCACTGCAGCCTTGACTTCCCAGGCTGTAAAACTTCTTCCAATCTCAGTCTCCCAAGTAGCTGGACTGAGATAGCTGTCCTGCAGCCTGTGTTAGGTCTACTACAAGGCTGGCTCTATAATTTTTTTACTTTTTGGAGATGGGGTCTCGCTGTGTTGCGCATAGCTGGTCTTGAACTTCTTGGGGCTCAAGCGATGCCTCTTGCCTCAGCCTCCTTTAAAGCACTGGATTATAAGCATGAGCCACCACGCCTGGTTTCAAAAGATTAGCGTTATTGGTGTAATCAATGTATGTGTCTAAACTATTGGCATGCCCCATGGCTAATGATAACAAGGAATCAACAGTAAGACATTTGGCAGGAGACTGGATTCGTACAGCAGGGTGTCAGATTATTTTTTAAGACTGGATCTCATGTGGTTGCCAGGTTGGAGTTGCAGTGGCACAAATTAGGCTCAGGCTGCCTGGGCTCAGGCAGTCCTGCCCCGCACGAGCTCCAAGGTAGCTGGACCACAGCATGGCGCTGCCACCATGCTTCAGCTAATTATTTTTATTACGTTCTGTAGGACAGGGTTGTTTGGCCCAGACTGTCTTGAACTTAAGGAGCTTGAGCTCAAGCATCCTCAGCTTGCTCTTGGAGATTGTAGTCTCACACTTGCCTACACTGGGAGGGCAGGTGGTGCAATCATAATGCAGCTTTGAGATTCCAGGGGCCTCAAGCCATCTGACTCAGTACTTGGTCGAGTATAGCTGGGATTCATGGATGCACGCTACAACCCTTGGCTTGAACATACGGTATCTTTTTTTTTTTTTTTTGGGGAGACAAAAAGTGCGTTGCTCTGTCATCCAGGGGCTGGAGTGCATGGGCGCCATCTCAGGTTCACTGCAGCGCTCCACCTCCGGGGTTCGAAGTGATTCTCTCTGCCCAGCCTCCGCAAGTGCGGCACTACAGGCTGGAACTCCCAAACTTGGGACTACGCACTGGCACGGCACGCTGGCTTACCTGGGACTACAGGCACGTGCCACCACGCCTGGCTAATGTTTGTATTTTTAGTAGAGATGGGGTTTTGCCACGTTGGCCAGGCTGGTCTCGAACTCCTGATCTCAGATGATCCACCTGCCTCGGCCTCCCAAGTGCTAGGATTATAGGCGTGAGCCACCATGCCTGGCCGAACATGGCATCTTTAAGTACATTGATTGACTACTTTCATCCACACTGTATTTATTTGTTTATTTCTTTTAATTGTATTCTCAGAGAGGTGTTTAATTTTACAACTGGCATTACTATTTTCTTTTTTCCTATAATGAAAAATTTTGAAACTGAATTTTCTTCGCTGTTGAAGGCTTAGGGTTGACACAGGTTTTCTAGGGGAAGAGGCCTCAGTCAGTTGTTCAAGATTAAATTACATCTACTTGAAGAGTGAATGGGAAGGTCTCATGCATGGGGGTTGCCTCGTCTCTTTTGTGGCTTTATTTTGTCTTACAGCCCAGGAGATGATTCACTCTCACTTCCCTTCACTTTGGGGACAAGAACTTGAGCATCTCTCAACCACCTGCCTTGTCATTATTCCAGAATTTAAGATTTACTTATTCTAGGTTAAGCTTGTAGTATTTTATCATTAGCAGTTGAATTCGTCATTGTATGTGGTCAGCTTCCTCATTCCTTGTTGTTTCTTGTGTTCTTTTTCTTCCCTTTTAGTTTGCTTTTCATTTAAGATACACCGATAGTCTGGTCACCATCTTAGTCTTTGTACATCTGGAAATAATTGTAGTTTGCCCTCCACTATTATACGGACTTCTGTGAATGATACACACCAACCTTCCAGCCTGTCCTCATTTCTTTTTAGCTGCTTTCACTAATGATTTAGGTATCCTCTTCCAGCACTGCCTTCTGGATGAATCCTTCAGTATTTTCCAGTTTACTTATTTTTTTGTATACAGTCATGTATTTGTGTAGAATTTTTATTGCAATATTATACTTCTAAAATTTTTATTCAGTTAACTTCTGCCTATTTTTGGCCCTTAATTTCTTGTACGTATGCGTTTCTTTTAAATGTGACTTCCTTTAAATCATTGGGAACCCTCATATACTTACGAAGTCCCTCTCTAGTTCTCTTTCCATCTGGAATCTTCTGGGAATTTCATCTCTTTCTCTGTGCTCCTGTGGGGTT